GCCTCACAGCAGCCGACTCTACACATCACATCATGTCGAGCCATGTGACTTCATTCGATCGCATGCACTCAGGGCCTACACAAGTGGCTGGCCTTTGCCGGAGGTCCCCTTCACAAAAACCCAAACCTACACCCTTTCCTGGATTATGGCCGACACACAAAAATCGGAGTCTGCGGTTTTCCGAACCCGGACACCTAGACCCTAAACCTTATACACGTCCAGAACCAGACTACACACCGGAATATAGGAAAGCGCACATCCGTTAATAAAACGACAACCACCCATTATATAGCTAGTTAGGCCCTAAACCCTGAACCCCTAAACCCCTAAACCCCTAAATCCTTTAATGCTTTAGGGACAACCGCCCACAGTACATAGTACTCGCGATAATTATGTAAGCCCAAAACCCTAACCCTTTGAGGCCTCCATGCTTTCCCCGACCCGCTCCCCGAGCTTCGGCTCGCCGTCCGCCGCCTGGGGGCAGTCTGGAATAAGTTTTCTTTCGCATTTAGGGGGTTTAGGGGGTTTAGGGTTCAGGGCCTGGGCGGGCTTAGGGTTTAGGGGTTTGGGGGGCTTTACGAGATATGCCATCTATTTCTTGCGGGGCTCGTGTCTATGACTACGTAGTTTAGTACACCTTCTCGATTGGTGCATGTCGTCCTTGCGCCGGCCTTGGGGCCATGCTAATCTTTCCAAGCTAGGGGTACTAGGGTTTTGGGGTTTAGCGTTATTAGGGTTTGCCTGTGACGTCGCTCGCCTGCCCTCGGGGCTTTGGGGGTTTGGGGCTAGGACAGGCGAGCGACGTCACTGGCCAGCCCTAAACCCCAAAACCCTAGTACCCCTAGCCAGGAAAGATTAGCATGGCCCCAAGGCCGGCGCAAGGACGACATGCGCAAATCGAGAAACTACGTAGTCATAGACCCGAGCCCCGCAACAAATACATGGCATATCTCGTAAACCCCCCAAACCCCTCAACCCTAAACCCGCCTAGGCCCTAAACCCTAAACCCCCTGGCATGCACAAATCGAGATGTGTACCAAGTTGTCGCTACATGGCCCGAGGACAGGCGAGCAACGTCAGAGGCAAACCCTAAACCCTAGACCCCAGTACCCCTATATAGCTAGGAAGCATGGCCCCTGTGCAAGGCGCAAAGACGGCATGCACAAATCGAGAAGTGTACCAAGTTTTCGCTAAACCCTAGAATCGCAGAGCCCCTGAGCCCCAGACCCCCAAAGCCTGCACACTAGGGCTGCTTACTGGTGACGATAGGTACAGCAGGCTTACGTGCAGTCGACACACCCGACGAGAACCCGTGAATCCAACTACATCCACCAAGTCACCAACATATCTCAACCAGCTAAGCAACCACCGCCCTGCACAGACACTTTCGGGTCTAGTTGTAGCATAAACCTGCAAACCACGGACCCTGGAACCCTGTATAAAGCCTCAAACCACAAACCCTCGAACCCTATATATATATATATATATATATACATATATATATATATAAACCCTCAAAGGATCCAAACCCCTCTCGCCCGGCCTCGCCCCAGCCTGATGCGATTGGAAACTCTCGGGAAGCTTCCGTCTTCTCCTGGAGTGTCCGACCTGCACACACGGCAGGCATATGCCGAAGGAAAGCCTCAAGCCTATATAATGCCGGATGTTGACCAACCAGCGAACCTATAATATATATATATATATATATACATGCCCTCGACCTCAACCGAAACCCCCAACCGCCAACCCTAACCCCAAACCCAAAACCCAGCCCAAAGGAATGCCCAAGCGACAGAATCCACAGCAAAAGTCCGCGACACGGGATCAGTAAGTACCCAACCTTCGAAGGATCAGCAGCACACGAATGCGCTGAGACCTGACCAGGCAAGACTGAGGAAGGGAAGAGAAGGTGGGGGTAGGAGTGGGACAGGTCGGGGGGGTGGGTGGAGGGCCAAAGGGTCCGAGGATGGTTGTCACAATCGCACCCTAGAAAATTAAAGGGGTTGGGGTTTTTGAGCGTGGGTTCGGGGTTCGGAGGTTTTTGTGGGGTTTGGAGTTTGGGTTTGCGGTTTGGGGTTTCGGGGTTTGGGAATAGGGTTTTTTAAGGCTTTGGATTTTGGGTTTTGGGTTTAGTGACTGTGTTTTTGGGCTTGGGTTCGGGTTTGGGGTTTTTGTGGAGTTTGGGGCCTGGGCCTGCCTAGAGGCCTAGGCCTAGAGTGTAAAAAGAGAGGCCGGCCGGCAAATCCAACGGGGAAAGTAGCAGGAAAAAACCGAAAACAAACCCAAACCCAAACCCGAAACCCCGAGAAACCCTTTCAAACCCCGAACCCTTTAAAACCCCAAACTCCAAAGCCCTAAACCCTGTTCCAAAACCCCGAAACCCCCACGCGGCTGCTTTTGGATTCATGGCGTGGGGGGCCGGTCTCCCTGCCAGCTGCCCCGCGTCACGATGGCATCGTCGGCACCAGCAATGGCAGTGAAAGCACAGTGTGAGGCTTGGATGGCCTTGACATTTTTCAGCTGGTCCTGAACTGCACTGCTGTCGCCACCTGCATCTGCCTGTCCCCAGGTCACAACCGAGCCATTGCTCAAAATGCAAGCGAAAGCCCGCTTGTTGCCTGCAATATGTGCCGCCGGGTTCGTGTTCAAAAGCGACTGCACGGCGCTGCTGTCACCACCCACGTCTGGACACCCCCAGGTCACGACCGAGCCATCGCTCAAAACGGCAGCGAAGGCAGTCCTGGTGCTCTGTATGGCAGTCACATTCTGCAGCTGATCCTGAACTGCACTGCTGTCGCCGCCCCACTCGGGGCGGCCCCAAATCGCAAATGGCCGTCGGGACCAACGTGGTGGATGATGAGCCGGAGCTGCAGCAGCTGGGCCAGAACTTTATGGTCATCAGGCTCTGTCTGGTGGCCTTCGACAGCCTCTGCACCAAACCCCTGTTTTGCACCTCCCCCGTGCTCATCTGGACCACGATCTGCGCCGCCAAGCAAGTCATGCCTACGTCTAAATCCCGTCTTACACCTGGACTATGAAGCTCTACGTATATACTTCAAAGAGACATTCCGCAAAAGAAGCAGGCATATGTCGGTCCAGTTTGCGCGGCTCCTCGAACTCTAGCCTGTCCAGATCAACCTCACCATTCTCACCCATCGGCATAGAAGTCGGTGAACGAAAAACCGCAGCCCGGTCCCTCACTTCTGCAGGAGTTGCCTTCGTCAGCACCCACACAGCCGCAGTGAAGCACCGGCCGTTCTGTGGCACCCGGATCACCTGAAGTGGTTTTACTCATATAGTCCTTGGCCCTAGTCATAAGCCATCCCAGCCCTCCTTTTTGTCCATGCAATCCCTGCCTCAAAACGGGTGGCACAGGTCCGGAGCACGCAGCAGCCATGACGTGTTTAGCGGTCTACGACGAAAACCGGGTGGCACAGCCCCGGCCAGGTCTGTTGAGCACAAAGCAGCCACGACGTGTTTAGCGGTCTACGATAGGCGTAGAAGCTCGGATTTGGGGATTTGGCGAAAGCTGCGATTGAAACCCTTGCGCCAATCCGCCGCCTAAACCCTAAACCCTGAATCCACATGTGTGCCCTCTCTGAACATTTCCGCTCACATTGTGGTTGCAGATTCCAGCTTCCAATAACCACAACCCTCAACCCTAACCCTGGCCCAGGCATTCCGCTTCGGGAATATGCCATCTACTGGTTAGTCTCCCAACCGTGCCGTGATGAAAGCTTTCTATGCCATCTATTCGTGCGGAAAAACACGCGCCGGATTTCACAAATTCTGGCATATGAAGCCCTCGGACTTATGCCATCTACTTGTGAACCCCTATAAATGAAATGCAGCAGAAATGTCGATGGTTGCTGGATCTCGGTGACAGCACTTGGAGACATACTACTGTAAACGAACGGTTGGCAAGAAGGCCGGGGTGGATCATGGGGGGGGGTTGTAACCATCTATATATATATATATATATCTCTCTCTCTCTCTCTCTCCTCCGGGCGTAGGGACGGGTCAGCGTCCCCGGGCACCTGGCCCACCCACTGTCTTGTTGGGCTACGGGGAGTGACAAGCGAACATAGACCG